GACTCCCCTGGGTGCCTGGGGGCATGAGGCAGCCCAGCCCGGGGTGCGAGGATGCGGGGTGGGCCTTGTCCCTGGCTGACCCCAACCTGAAGACGGCCCTGGGGCGGAGGGAGCAGGCCAGGAATCACACCTGCCCACCACTCAGAGGGACCTGCACACAAGTGAAACCTGCCCTGGGCGGTGACCGCAGGGACGGGGACGGCCCCGCCCCTCTTCTCCTTCCCGCCCTCATCTTTCTGGGAAGATCAGTAAACCTCATGCACCTTCCCTGGGTGCCAGAAGACAGGAACAGCGAGGAAGGCTCCGGCCAGCACCCAGCTCTGGTGGCCCTCAGGGGCTTCCTGCAGAGGCCAAGTGGCCAAGGTTTGCTGAAGGCAGAGAACCTTCTGGACAGGCAGCAGCTGGGCCACAGTTCCCGCCTTGCTCCTCTGGCAGGCGGCGGCTGGCTCCAAGTAAAGGCAGCAAGGACGTGCCTCCTGGGGCTGCCCCTGTCACCTCACCTTGCCAGGCCTCAGAGGGTGTTCAGGGTCAAGGGACTCACTGCAGGTCTGCCCTGGGTCAGGCCCAGCTCGCTGGAGGACAGCACAGGCCCCACTGTGTATGGTGGGTAGGGGACAAAGTAGGGAGGGCTGAGCGGAGCACAGCCGTGAGCCCGGTACTGCCACTCCTGTTGAGTGACACCAGCTCTGGAGACGGAGCGCTCAGGCCTCCTCTCGAGGGGCAGCATGGGGTAAAGCTGCCTGTGGAGAGGGCTGCACCCTCTGAGCACGTGGACACCACTGCCCTGGGCGGCAGGCGAGACGCCGCTCACTGCAGCTGGTGGAGAAGAGGGCAGGAAGCATGTGGGCTGCAGTCCTTTGTGTCCTCTTGCTGTGTGACCTGGGGCCAGCTCAAGGACTTCTCTGAGCCCAGAAGTGCTCACCCACATCCTGCAGCCACAGCCTCCGTCCCCCAGCAGGACCCTTGCTTTAAGGCACCACTAAGGAGCCGCGGATTCACACCACCGAGCAGAGTTTCTGCGCGATCCTTCCCACTGCCCTTCCCACACTGGCGGCCCAGACTGGAATCTGAGGAACAGGCAAGGTGAGCCCAGCCCAGCCGCCCCTCTCTCCACCTGCACAGGGGCAGCCAGTCCTGTTTCCACCTCTGCCTGGCCACAGGCCCCAAGATGGTCTTCCAGCAGCCCAGGCTCAGGGAGGATCCACACAGGAGGGCAGGAAGCAGGCAGCCTGCTCAGCCCATGTGGCGCTGCTCGTCTGCAGGGACAGAGGGCCCAACCCCTGGGCTGGCTGACTGGGGCTGCCACCCACACCTGGACTCCACTAGGCAGCTGTTCACGGAGACACAGGTGACAGCTGAAGAACTGCACCAGGTTCACTCACTCCCTTCAAACTCCACTTGGCACCAAAGAAAAATGTGTTTCATTCCAAAGAGACACCGAGCCTCCTCTGACGGAAGCACTTTGAAGCAGCTGCTGCAGGCGGTGACCCAGGCCAGGGGCTGTGCTTGGCAGAAGCTGTCTGCACGGGCCGCTGGCCAGCTCTGGAGCGTCTCCTTCTTGCCCCACTCCAGGTCTGTCGTCACACGGCCTGTTGTTCCCATCAGCCAGGCCTGGAGGGGGCTGGGGTCCCAGGTCGGCTGGGACCGTGCTGCGTGGAAAGCCCTCCAGTACCCAGGGCCCAGCTGGTTCCGGTGCAGCAGAACCCAGCTCCTGAGCCCCAGCAAGAAGGGCCCTTGTAAGATTCCGGGAATACTGGCCGGGAATACTGGCCGGGAAACTTCCCCTCTGCAGTCCAGAGGGCAAAGAACATTCTGGGCCCGTGGAACATCGTCTGACCTTGAGCGGCTGGTTAGGAAAGCGCTGGCGTGAGCCCTGTGCCGGTCTTTTGCCCAGCAGCTAATGGCTGGAAAAGGCAGTGAAGACACTGATTTGTGCTCAAGAGACAGGATGCTGGTTGTGGGGTGCGGTGTGGGCAGAAGCCAGGAACCCCAGGTACTCCAAGAGAAGGGGTAAGGTAGGGATATAATGAGGTAGGGAGGGTCCGTGACGTGTTGACACTGTCCCTCCCCTCTGGGGACAGAGAGGGCGCCTCTCAATGGGCAGCGTGTCCCTTCCTTGAATTTGCTAGAATGGAGGGCCCAGGACCCAGGAAAGAGAGGCAGAGGAGGCCGGCCTCTCTCCAGGAGGCCAGAAACAATGCCCAGGGCTGGTGAGCAGCAGGCGAGGCCTGGCCCTTTACCCCCAGGAGCCTGTGACTCCCAGCCACAACCTGGCCCCCAGCTTGTGGCCCGCTCAGGGCCATGGAGCACATTGCCCACCTGGCTGTCCAGCCTGGGCAGCACCAGGTCCCGCGGGTCTGTCCTGGCGCTAAGAGTGTCCCCCTGGAGGGAGAAGAGGGTGGTGCAAGGACACGGACAAACCCCCTACCACGAGGCCACCGATGCGGAGTCAGGGCGAGCTAACACTTTCTAATAGCCGTGTAACAAAAAGTACAGCGGCCAGGTGAGGTCGACTCAAAGAGCAGCTTTTCAACCCAGAAACCCAACAGGTGTGGTCCAGGTGCTGCCCCACCCCGTCCCTGAGGCCCTGCCGCAGTCTCCCTCCAGGACATCCCAGTCTGGCCATCAGCATTTCCAGCGCTCAGTCACCACCTGCAGCCACGGTCACAGCATGGGGCAGCAGGGCTCCAGAGGGTCACCCACGGCTGAGGGATCTCCGTCCCTGGGTCCTGCTCCTGTGGCCTCCCTGGGGGTGACT